CTGTAACCCCTTCAGTGTTAGACTTTAACCCACTAAAACCACCTCATCTGTACAGTAACCCCTGGTACTACCTTTTAGTATTTCGTCAGGAGGCTTTAGAGCTAATAACTCAATGGTCTGAGTCGATATTGTTTGTCGTCGTTATTTGTTAATCGTCTCGGTTTCAGTGCTCGTCACTATGCATCCAGTACGTAAGTTACCTGGTCCACATTAGTGTCAGTCGCTGGTGCGCTGTTATTGCGCCTTCGCCTCTGCTGCTTGCTCCATCGCAAATGCTGCATTATTTCAGTTGCAGTTATGCTTACTGTAATCCATGGCATTCTCATTCTTCAGCATGCATTTAACGAGAGTTTCTAGCTTCAAGTTGGTGTCTAGAGACTGTTTCAGCGGATCGACTGCAGACGAATATTGTGTGCTCGGCCTCTTCTATAAAATCTGGGCCGCAAACTTCGCAGCATAGATCCGATTCATCCATGACCGCATAGAACTTGCGTTAAATAGAAGTCTACTTGACCATGCTTCCTGCCTAGCCACAAGATTCGGAATCAAACGATGGGTCTACCTCCCTTTTTCTCTATTATTCCATCATCTCTGCCAACGAGCAATAGATATAAGTCTTTCGTTACTTTTAATACTGTAGCTCCGTTCTTCTCGTCTAAGACTTGCAAGTGTGTTTCGTTCCCCGGCGGCAACTAAGGCTACCTCCTCTGACACGGTGCGGAAAGCAGCGTAGACACGGAGTGCGCACCGACCGTAAGTGGACTTAACGACACGGGCGTAGAACTCTATTCCCAATGCTATATACCAAATCGGAGAAGCATAAAGCAGGATTGATTTTAATACCCTTGCGAGAAGCTGCCTGCTTTGCTGGCGCGGTCCATTGACGTTTGCCATTAGTCTAGCTAAGGCAGTGGTTGCTGCTGTGGCTTTATTATTCGCGTATTCGGGGTAATAGCGAAAGTTTAGCCCATCGGCTCACACCTAAGTATTTAGCGCATGATTTTGATTCAATAAACCCCAACTCTAATTTGAACTTTCTCTGCTTTTTTCCGGCTGCGAATGAGAAAGGCAGACATTTTGCTTCAATACATCTTTTAATGTTTGATGTGGCTAACTCAGATAGCTGAATTAAAGCAGGTAGTGTTTTTGGAACCACGATTTGCTATATCATCATATATATCATCATAGCCTACTATGGTTATGTCCTTGGGGAGCACTATCCGCAGAACTTCACCGTATATGATATTCAATAATATAGGTCCCAGTACAGACTACTGGGGAACCCCTGCCGTGATCTTCCGCTTCACTACTCCTTCTCTGGTACTATATTGATAGAGTCTTGCTCTATCACTTAGGTAGCTAGATAGAATGTTGATCAAGTATGGCGGTACACCGAGACTCTTTAGGGTATTTAATATATGGGCCGAGCTTGCGCTAAGCACATCGAGGGTTACAACTAGGCAGTATTGTTTATCTCCGTGCAACCAACGACATGAGTTTTATCTTTGATAACTTGTTTATCATTGTGCTTTGCATTGTTTGAATGGTATCTTCGTTTGAATTGTATTTTTATGTGGCCTTAAAGACTGATTGACTATCAGTGTATTTTATGTATTTTTTGTTTGGTTTTTTAGCTATTTCAATTGCCGATATCAATCATTGTAGCTCAGCATTAAATGTATTTGCTTAATGTAGGAGAAGACCTTTGGATCTGATAGTGCCGTTGTCGTCGGTTACTGGAAATGAGACCCCCTCATTTTGTGTGGAGCCATCTGTAAAGAGGAAGTGCCATCCGTCTTGTTTAAGTGGTGTTGCAATACTTTTGAATAATTTTTGGTAGGTGAAGTTGAAGATTTGTTCTTTAGGTCGGTTTGCCAGATGGTTGATAAAAGTTTCACTCTCAATAATAATAATATAATAATAATGGATAATATGTAGTGGATATATTTAAGCTGAGGTCTTTTTCTAGTACTACCAACTCACAGAGTGTCGATTTTATTTTTATATTAGTTTTTCTTCTTTTCAAGAGTTGAATTTCGTTTTTAAAAATGCTTGAAGAGTTGCAAAACAGTTTGTGTATTATGCGACTATTAAGAAGCTTATATAGCTTTTCTAATGTGTGAAAACCTCCTTCAGCTAGTAAGTGTTTTATTGGGCTGGTCTTGCAGGCTCCGTCTTATTGTTGAATACAGTGGTGGCTTAATTTTCTTAAGTAAGGTTTTAGAACATTTTCCATAAATTTGTAGACCATATTCTATTTTACTTAGTATAGTATATATATATATAGTGTATATATATAGTATATTTAACAATGTATTATTATAATTTTTATTTTCAACCTCTTGATGCCAATGATATAAATATGAATCACTTCCAAGGTTTATAGAATACAAGGTTACAACAACTTCTTCACATGTACAGCGGACGGGACTTGATATTTGAGCCGCTCAGTGCACACATCGATTAACTGTACTTTTTGAAAGATCTTAAATTTAAGTGTTGGAGCCTTTAGTATAGCCATACCTTTTCATATATTCATAACAACTCCCTTGAATAATAAAGATTAGCACCCTTAAAAGGCGAATTCTTTTGGTCATTGAATTATAAGTAATTTATTTAAGAAGCCTTTTCGATTACCTCTATACTATAATGTAAATCGTTTCAGTATACAGTGTTACAGTTCCATAGTCACAGTTTCTCTTCGCAGTAGGTTTAATTACTATCATGGAAATAACAGCTGACATAGCTATTTGCCCAATGACTCAATTGTTGCCGTTATTGAGTCATGTGCGAAAAAAAATTCAAACATTTTTTACCAGATAATTGGTACCATATAATAAAAAAAAATGAAAAAAGAAAGCGCTATTTTACCTACTACAAATGAGTCAACAATAATTTTTTCAAAAAAACCTTTAGAACGGTTTATCATTAACAGAAAAGTGACGGTCACAGGGCTTCCAGTAAATTGGCTTAAAAAACGCTGGATAAATTCAGAAAGGCTCAAATCTTATCTCACACAATTCAAATGTGACTATAATGAAGATACAGAATTTCATGCCACTAATATGAGAAAATCTTTAGTGGATGGACCGCAAGATTTTAAAAATATACATCAGCCTTTATTTTATCCTAAAAACAGCATTGTAACAAACCAAAAATGGAGAGACATGATGGACCTGCTACAATTCATTGCTTTTGTTAAACACGATTACTACAAGAACTTGTCAAGAAATCGAAATGGCGGATCCTCGCATACAGCTGATGAGGAAGACATTATTTATAATATTGCTGCATCCTCTCAAATAATAATGCTGTCAACATAAAGCTGCTATAAATTAAAAACAAAAATTATATTATAACTGTACAGCCAGAATTAATTTTTATGGAAAAGCTGTGCTAAAAATGTATAACTAACTTTTCTGTAATAAAAACTTAAATATATGTAAATACTAAATTCAACTTTATTACTCTTTTTCAGTTGACAAATCGATTAACTCCACCAGTCACATAAAAAATTTAACATTACTGACGATTAATTTTTATTAAGTAAACTACGAGGCCTTGTTGTTTGTATGAATTGAATATTTGTTATACAACAAAGAAGAAATGGTAGAAGTGACAGCTGTTTCGGAGATCATCACATCTCCTCATCAGACTTCTTATGGCAGGGATCGAACCAACGGATCCTGACTTAACAGGCGAGTGTTCTACCACTGCGCCAACATCAGCGTTGGCTATACTTTCTTATTAATTTTATATACCGTTAGATGAAGGTAGGTCTGCAATTATGTATTCTACATTGTATATTTGAATTTATCATGATCGCTTTTCCCAACTTTTCATTTCATGGAGTTAATCTATGTGTGCTCATTTATATAATAAAAAAATATATATAAAAAAATGTATGTATATTTAAATATGGGAAAAAGTTACTTACACAGAGTCAAATATATTTTTTTTTGCACTTGCGTAATTAAGCCTATTAGACATATATATATGTATATATATGTATATGGCACTTTGTAGCCGCTGATCCTCCTACAATTTGTGGTTTCGCTTCTTCACTTTTTTTCCAACAATTGGAGGGACCTACAATTTATACTAAGCCGCCCACGAATGGCTAACAGTTTTTTTACGAGGACCCTTTATTTCAGGTCGGAAATACACTCGGAGGAGTTGACATTCCCTGCCGAGGGGCGACTGCAATTAGACAAATTTTGCAAAACGCAATGCTAACCACTCAGCTACCGCGGCCGTCTCTACAGCTATGACGAAAATCATTGGAAAAGTATCACATTCTCCCACCGTGAATTCCCATTAAACAGTGCCCAGTTAGTTTGCATGCTGCTGATTTATTGGTGAACCGGTATAGGCGAATAACATACCTCGATATTTTAACGTTCGGCACAGGCCAAAGCTGTTTAGTCACGTTACAGTTTCGTTCACTTAGCTACCTGGTGTTGGCGGTTTTGGTCTGAGTTTTGCTGTCGACAGTGATAAGTCCACGATGTGCGTACAATTAATTGTGGTTAGAGTAGTATTTTCTCTCGCTAGCTTATCTGCCACACAGTTGCTTGGCATGTCCCTATGTCCAGATACATAGACCACGGCTGTTTAGAGCTTGCTGAAATTGCTTCTGCCTTTCAGAGCCACTTTTGATGTGATGTCACTATATTGAAGGGATCTGATGGCTGCATGGCTATACGAGTATGTACTGATTGATCGGTTTGTAAAAAATCCAAATATTTAATTTATTGATCGCGTTTCTCATCGATTTTAGTCAAGCCAACGTAATAGTACTCAATAACCCGACTTAAGCATTGTTAGACAACATCACTTGTTAAAAAAAAAAAAAAAAAAAAAAAACAATGCAAACGTTTACCTTTAACTTTCACACATAAAAGACACACCACCCCAGCACTTTGTGGGCTTCCGCAAGGCATAGTTCAAGCAGATGTCTGAAAAGTACCAACCAACAGCACTTTCAGTTGCCATTGGCGACTTGACGTGAAAAGTGTGCAGCGACAAAAATTGAATTTGCCAGAATTGTATAGCCAAAACTGAGTTTAGTTTAAGTGAATTAGTGGTGCAGGCGTTAAGTGAGTAAGGACTTGCAGGACCTACAACGCCGACGCTTACGCCGACGCAAACGAAATGGCAGCTGCTGCACCAGCCGCCGCTGCAGCACAGGGTGCTGCTGGCGCTGCCGCAGTGAATATAGCCGAAATCGCAGGCGAGGCCAATGTGATGAACTACATGAAGAATCGCCTGCGTAAGGGGGCGATGAAGCGAAAGGGTCTCATGATTATAAATGGACATAAATTTGCGGTGCGCTTCTTCAAGCAGCCGACTTATTGTGGACACTGTAAGGATTTTATATGGTAGGTGGCTATTTTTTTTTATATTCAATTAATCGCTAGAGACAAAGCATTTGTGAAATTGTAGCATAATTTAAGGCGTTTAACAACGTTAATTCAATTAGTGATTTTGTAGTGAAAAGAAAAATGAAATATTTTGCAAATTTAATTCATTTTCTTTGTGTCCTTTTCAGGGGTTTCGGCAAGCAAGGCTATCAGTGTGAAGGTAAGTACGTTTTGTGTTGCTTGAAAATAAAGGACGAAATCATAAATTACAATTTCACCTGCCTCAATGTTATCTCTGCTTACACACATATACATATATACTGCGATTGTCAATGCCTCGTTTGTTTACGCTTTTCACCTCCGCAGATTGCCGCTTCAATATTCATCAGAAATGTTGCAATTTTGTGGTTTTCAAATGTCCTGGCAAGGAGACCGACATTGATGCTGATTGCTCGAAAGTGAAACATAAATGGGAATCGACTACATACACGACGCCGACATTTTGCGATGATTGCGGCATGTTGCTGCACGGTGTAGCCCATCAGGGCGTCAAGTGTGACAGTAAGTTGTATGTACAGAAGGACCTCTTATGCGGTTGCACATAGTTTGTGGGATTTTACTTACTTTTCTTAATTTTTGTTTTCACACATTCCTCACTTTGTCGTTTGCTCTTTACATTCCCTTCCCCTGGCAGATTGCAATTTGAATGTGCATCACACTTGCAAGGAGAAGGTGCCGCCTCTTTGCGGTGCTGATATTAACGAACTACGAGGCAAGTGTTTGTTGTATGTGGAACTCAAGGGCAACACGTTGATGGTGGAGAGTGAGTGCTGATTTAAGATTTTTTATGGTTTTATCTATGTATTTTTTAAACTTTTTTGTATTTACTTATTCTACTTTGCTCTACTTTCACAGTCAAGGAGGCTACAAATTTGATTCCAATGGATACGAATGGTTTGAGTGATCCATATATTGCAATTGCCTTACATCCAGATCGTAGCGGTAAAACAAAGAAGAAGACAAAGACCATACAGAAGTGTTTGAGTCCAGTTTATAATGAGAAGTTTACTTTGTGAGTATTTATAATATATGTATGTATATGTATGAGAAAGGTAACGTTAATTTTAAAAATAAAACAAGAAACATGAATTCAAATATTTGTGCGTGAATGCTCGAGACAGTAAATTTAAAAGCTTGCAGCCGCGCAATATATATTTTATTGCAAAAGATGAGTAAACCCTATACTCGCCACATATTTTTTAATCGATATGTAAAAACAAAAAAAAAAAAAAAAACAGATTGTACTAAATGTACAAAAAATATTTGTACTAAATATATGTGTTGTTGAAAATTTGTGCTCCGATTTGTTGGAAATTTGTACTAAAACTCCTTTCAAAACCTATACTGAATAAAACTAAACATTTAAACTAAACATTTAAACTAAAAATTTTGTACTGAATATTTGTTCCAACATTTTGTACTAAAATTTTGTTCTAAAATTTTGTTCTAAAATTTTGCACGGAAAATTCGTTATAAAATTTTGCACGGAAAATTCGTTATAAAATTTTGCACGGAAAATTCGTTCTAAAATTTTCTACTAAAAATTTGTACTAAAATTTTATCTCAAACATTTTTTTTTTGCAAATTTTGTACTAAAGGCCCACTTAAATTTTGTACTAATATTTCTTGCTATTATTTTGTACTTAGATTTAGTACTAAAAATTTGTTTTAAAATCTCATACTAAAAATTTATCTCAAACCTCTGTTGGAAATTAAGTACTACCTTTAGTATTTAAATTTGCTAATATAATTTTGTACTAAATTTTCAAATCAAAATTTTATCTAAATCGTTGTCGGATATTTTTACAAATCTTTTATTAAAAATTGGCATTAAAATTTTTTACCAACCATATGTGTTAAAATTTCAAATTTAAATTTTATCTATAACGTTGTAGAAAATTTGTACTAAACTTTCATTTAGATTTTAAGCTAAGATTTTTTACTAAGCTTTCAACCGAAGATTTTGTTGCATAGAGTTGTGCTAAATGTTTATTCAAAATTACCAAAATTTACGGTAAATATTTTTTTTTTTACTAAAAATTTCTACAAATTTAGCAAAAAGGGGAAATTAGAACTTTTTTTATTATCTAATTCTAGAAAAGGTTGAATATTGCTACTAAAGTTTTATTTAATATGTACACAAATTTCCAAATGAAATTTTCTAGTAAATTAGGTACTAAAAGTTCCTTCTTAATTGTTTCGAAAAGTGGGTACTAAACTTTTATAACATAATAAATAAAATTGAATTAATAGGGTGTACTAAAAGTACGCATTAAGTTTTGGAATATAAGTTTTATTCTAAATACTTTATATTAATTTTATTTAAAATTTGTTCTAATCGTTTGTACTAAGTTTCTACTATACAATACTAAGGGTGAAGTTTCGTACTAAATTTGTATTATGTTTTGCAAAGTTAATATTTTGTATGGAATTCCTAACTAAATTAAGTACTAAAAAAACTAAAACTAAAAGTCATCACTAAAATTTAAAAATAAAAAATTATAAAAAATGTCTTAAATAAAATAAGTTATATTATTAATTATTAAAACTTTTGCTGAAATGTTTAATAAATAACACTTTTATATTAACTTCGACAAACTTTCTTTCTCTTTTAGTGATCTTACGCCTCAAGATCGCGAAAAGCGTTTGCTGATAGAGGTTTGGGATTGGGATCGTACATCACGTAATGATTTTATGGGTTCCTTCTCATTCAGCATGGAGGAAATACAGAAGGTATGATTTTGGGTGAACTAAGTGAGGATTAACCACAGATATTCTTACTTAATTAGGAGCCCATTGACGGCTGGTATAAATTCCTCTCACAAGTTGAAGGCGAGTGCTACAACATACCTTGCTCGGATCCCATTAATGATATAGCGCGTTTGCGTGATGAAGTGCGAGTAAGTAATGGTACTGAAAATAATAAAAAATGTATCTTTTCAAAGCCACTTTTCCACTCTCCGCCCACAGACGGATAAAAAGAACGACAATAAACGACGCATGGACAACAAGGACATGCCACATAATATGAGCAAACGCGATATGATACGTGCGGCTGATTTCAATTTCATTAAAGTACTCGGTAAGGGCTCATTCGGTAAGGTGCTGCTAGCCGAGCGACGTGGTACCGATGAATTGTATGCTGTGAAAGTGTTACGTAAGGATGTTATTATACAAACGGATGATATGGAATTGCCCATGACGGAGAAACAGGTATTGGCGCTCTCAGGCAAGCCACCATTTTTGGTCTCGCTACACTCGTGCTTTCAGACTATGGTGAGTAGGCTTTTCGGGCACACTTAGTAAATCATAGGAAATCTTTCTCCTCTTTCTTTCTACACAGGATCGCTTATTCTTTGTTATGGAGTATTGTAAGGGTGGCGATCTTATGTATCACATGCAAATCTATGGGCGTTTCAAGGAATCAGTGGCCGTGTAAGTGCACTGGAGAGCTTTGTTTTGCACTTGTAAGTGAAATTTCTCACTTCCTTGCAGCTTCTATGCCGCCGAGATTGCCATTGCTTTATTATTTCTGCATGAACATCACATCATCTATCGTGATCTCAAGTTGGACAATGTGCTGCTGGACGGTGAGGGCCATGTAAAGATTGCCGATTTTGGACTGAGCAAAGAGGGTATTGAAGACCGTGACACGACACGTACCTTCTGTGGCACCAACGTTTATATGGCGCCGGAAGTGAGTGCAGAAACGCTTACATCTTTTGCTAAATCTTACTCATACTTTATTCAAATCTCCAAATTTTCGCCAAAGATTCTTAATTACGAACCCTACAATCATACCGTCGACTGGTGGTCGTTTGGCGTATTGGTCTTTGAAATGTTAGCTGGTCAAAATCCATTTGAAGGCGAAGATGAGGAGAGCACTTTCAAAAATATCAAAGACAAGAAAGCTGTCTTCCCGAAACACTTTTCTCAAGAGGCTATGGATGTGCTGACGAGCGTAAGTCTCTATATCTCTTCTCTCTCTCTCTCTTTTGGATGAAGAAAACTTCAACATTATTTTTCTAATTTTTAACTACATGCAGTTCCTCGCTAAGAAACCAAATAACCGCTTGGGTGCTGGCCGCTATGCGCGCTCTGAGATCACCACCCATCCATTCTTTAGAAATATTGACTGGGAGAAGGCGGAAGCGAAGGAAATGGAGCCACCAATCGTGCCAAAGATTGTGCGTAATTATTATTTTTAATAAAGTTTTCAAAGTTTTCATTCTAAATTAAATTTCATTTTGATTGAAAATTTAATTTGTATTTGTATTTGAATTCATATTTAATTAAATTTTAATTTTAATTTTAATTTTAATTTTAATTTTAATTTTAATTTTAATTTTAATTTTAATTTTAATTTTAATTTTAATTTTAATTTTTTTTTTATATTTTATTACAAATATTCGTATACATGTTAACTAATTTAATAATATTTAATTTTAGAAACATCGTAAGGACATTTCGAATTTCGATAAAGCTTTTATTGTTGAGAAAACTGATTTGACTCCAACTGATAAGTTATTTATGATGAATTTGGATCAAAATGATTTTATTGGTTTCTCTTATATGAATCCGGAGTTTATAACAATTATTTAATTTAAATGTATTTACCAATGAATTACAAAACAACGGTTTATTATTATAATTATAATCAATTGAAGATATTTGAAATGCTCAAAAAGCATTAATAACGGTAATGAAATAAAAATATATAAGAATACGGCGAAATTAGTGTAGTACTGATTTTCAAATTTTTTCTGAATTGTCAAGTTTTTCATCTTTTTAGCCACTGAACGTTTCTTCCAAAGTTTGTGAAGAGACTTCTTCCCTTGAGGGGCGAAGGCTCTTTATGTGCAAGACGTGGGACGAGAGGTGGTCTAAAATCTCGCACATGTCTGCCTCCCTAAAACTCGTATACATCTGCATCACTGCTAGTAATGCACATTAAATTCGCGCGTCATGTCGGTAAGTCATGTATCATTTCGTTTCTGAATATATATATATATGTATATATAATATACTCATTCGAACAAAGTGTTCAATACCAGTCTTTTATAAAACATTTGTTTGAACAAAGTACTATTCGGCACACATGTAATTTTCGGTAAAGTATATAGCCGGAAGTACAATCAAACATTTATCCATACTAAACTTTACACATTTTTAAGCTCACTAGTAAAGACTAATACCGACAAAGAGCTTTACCAGGAAATAAAATGAAAATCATAGCTTAATGGAATCTGTTTAAATAATACAATTAAAGCTTAAAAAGCTCTCCGGGCTTACTGAAGTTTTCGAAAAACTTAAATAAAGCTTTTAAAAGACTTTAACAACACATCATTAGCGTACTTGCAGGCCCTTAAAAGCTTTTAGGAAAATTTTGAGCAATGAGCTTCGAACTCGGTTACTCTCAACTGTAAATGATTCGCGATATGAACAAGAAAAACGCACTGAATTTCTATGTAAATTTGTATGCATATTGAATCTCTAAAATGTATCGCATGTGGTATTGAAACCACAGCCGCGTATGGCTTGGCATGACATAGCATGACTTAGTATGCAAATGTAATATCGGTCTGTGGGTTTGTAAGTCAACTGAACAAATTGTTGAGGAGATAGATTGTTGCTGCTGCATTTTCCTCAAATTCGCCCGCCAATGCAAAAGATGCCTGTTGTTGTATGTGATGCAACAAAAGAAAATAAGTTTTTGGGAAATGTTCATGGTAGTGTATAAAGTCAATATATGTGTGTATGCATACATATGACAACGAAATGCGTGCGAGTGTATATGCGCCAGCACGCACGCATTTTTGCTGTTGACCTAATGCCACTGTCCACTAGAGACATAACCTTGACTTGCTTTTAAAGTGTAAAACTTTTACGAAGGCTAACTCGCAACAAGTTGCATGGGGTTCGATAAAAATAAATTATAAGAAAATGAAAAATTTACTACATAGAAATGAAATAATAAAATGGAAAAAAAATTAAATAAAATAATTTAAAATAAAATAAAATAGAAAATATATAAAATAAACTAAATTAAAACGACATTAAACATAATGAAATTAAAAAAGTAAAGCAATGTAGTAATATGAGCTAAAAAAAAACAAAATAAAATAAATTCAAATGAAATAAAATAAAATCATATATCATGAAATAATATTTTGTAAAATAAAAGAAAATCTAATAATATCAATAAAATAATATAAAGGAAAATAAAATAAGATTAATTGGAATAAAATAAAACAAAATTAAACAAAATGAAATTAAAAAAATAAAAAATTAAATAAAATAAAAAAATATAAAAAAAATTAGAGAAAAAAAAAAACAATAAAATAAATTAAATAAAATAATAAAAAATTTAAATAATAAAGTAAAAAGAAAAGTAAAATTAAACAAAATAAAATAAAACATAGGAAAACATGCAGCTGTCATTAGAGCGCTTAGTTTTGTTGCCTTTTATACCAACAACAAAGTGACATCGTATCACCAAAATAATAACAATAACAACATTTTAAGGTCCAGCAGTAGTAACGGCGACTTTTGATTTGTGTTGGCAAGCATAAAGTAAAATATCAAGCTGTCAATAGCTTTCTGATCAAAATGGGAGAGGGATTACAAACACCTTTTTTTGATTAGAAAATTATAATAAATATTACTAGCGTTTGTTATATTAAAATTTATTTTTATTATGTGAACAAAAACATCAAATTAATATAATTGCTTAAATTTAATTTTATTATTTAATTTGGGCAACATAATGGAAAAAATCGAGTTCTCAGGTAAATACACAAATAATGGGTAATTTAGACGCTCAGCAAAAATTTAATATATTTTAGGATTTTCCAATTACCCACAGAGGCATTTTTGTTTTCTTCTCCCCCTTTCGTAAAAGCAAATGCGACAAAAATTCTGTAAAAAATCTGTTATAAGCATATTAAATCTCGTAGTGCACACACACATATATTTTTCAACAGAATTATCAGACTTATCTTGGGTTGCTTCCTTCTTTTGACATTTCGATTGCCAACATAACCAGCAATAAATGTCCAAAAATGACAAAAAGAGTGAAGAAAAAATCTTGAATTCCCAGAAGAGCTTGACTCATTTATATATTTATGTAGCATCATTTTCCAGGCCAGTAGGCAGTTGGAGGCTAAACGTATTTTCGTGGCAGATACAAAATTTGAAGCCCCAAACTCAATGTGTACAACAAAGAAAATGATTTACTGCGTAGATAAGACGGAAAGTAGTCTTTTGACAAATTTCAGCCGCCAAAATGACAGTTCACAAAATTTATTTTAGTTTAAATAAAAGAACATAAAAAGGCTGTCAACACCTTTTAAAAGTGAATAAACAAAATTTATATTTTATGAGCAAATACATATATACATAAAGTATATATATAAATGCTTGTGTGGTGCTTTTGCGCACCTATCTTGCAAACTCATCTCTTCTCAGCCATTTATAACATCCCGTAAAAGTTAGGAGGGGAACACGTTGTCATATCATTGCATACTTTAGGGCATTTGCATGCTTGTACTATGAAATTTGCTTTGACATCGTTAACGATTCGTGCAAATTTTGTTGGCATAACCCAAACTGCATTGTCAGATAACGAGTGGCCTGTGTCATTTGGCAGCAAGGTCATTTGGCTAGCAAAGAAGTTTGAATTCTCAAACGCCCTTTCACTCGGTCTCTTCCACTCACTATCATACACACAACTGCAGGCACAAAGTTATGCTTAACTACGCACTCAAGCATACTCGGCTTTTTCATCTGCATTTTCAACAACCATTTGTTGCCGCTGCTGGTCATCAGTTTTGACAATGACAGCCTCAAGTGGCACGACAGCCACACTTTAGTTACGTTCTTTTGGCACTTTGTACTCGTATATGAAAATTTTGATTGGTGGCACAGTGTGCTTGTAGTGAAGTACGAAGGAAAAAAATTTTAGTACTAAAAGTTTCTATCAAATATACAAAAAAGAAAATATTATCAAAATTGAGTACTAAAATCTGTACTAAAAATTTATATTGTGCTGAAACCGTGAATACTAAATTTGGAAATTAAAAACTAGTTACAAAGTTTGAAAAAAAAATATTTTTTTAACTTAAAATATGAGTACTAAACATTGCATTAAATATAACTTTCGTACAAAAGCATATTTTGATCTTAGTTTGAAAGTAACTAGATTGCATATTAATATAATATGCTGGCATTGAAATTTTCCAAAACGTAATTTAGAACCGAATTGAGTACTAAAATGTGTACTAAAAATATTTCTTGTACTAAAATTCCAAAAACGTGTATGTACTTCGGTTGGAATTTTTATTTACTTAAAACTGAAGTATTCGAGTAACATATAGAATTGAAATTTCGATTTTGAAACATAATTTCAAGTGCTAAACTTTTTACAAAATTATTTTTGTACTAAAATTGACATGAACTATCTACGCCTAAAACTCAACAACAGAACATAAAACTTATATTTATTCAAATTATGAGTACAAAATGTGGTACTAAAAACATGTATTGTTTTAAAAAGAAATTTTGTACTAAAAATAAATTTGTATTTTAGTTTAAATCTAAAATATTTGTGCCTTTTAAAATCACTTATAATATTGTTTTTAAAACTAAGAGTTTTGTTAAATATCATTTGATAATTAACTTTTGTACTAAATATTAATTATTGTACTAAAATAATTACTTTTTTTCGCAAACTAAATAGTAATTTTTAGAACAAAACATTGAATGTTTTCTGAAAATTTTTAACACGAGTTATTGTACTAAAAATAGTTATTTTTGTAGAGCGAAACATTTCTGTGCCAAGAACTGAACTTTTATTTAGAACTAAAATTTAATATTTATCTAACTTTAGTTGCTGCAGCTTTTGGTCATCGACTGACGGAAGTGGTCTAAAATCTACACAGCTTACTACAGCACTCAGGATGGCGCTCCGAAACATTTGTGTTATCTCATCCTGTCCTGTTTGGAATTTTTGAGGAAGCGAAGCTGCCAAAACTGAAATTGGAGATTGTCTGGAAATTGTGCTGGAGAAAATGTTTTCCCGAAATCTGTACCGCTATTCCCCCAAAGCAGAGCTACGTTGCAGATGGCTTGTAGCTTACCACAAAGATCTTCATGAAAGAAATTACGAATAGTTTCCAGGACTTTTGTGGTAGTTGAATGTGGAATTCTAGCTATGAGGAAAGCTGAATACGGCTGCAATCTCTCCGGTTTGCTCTCGAAATCAGTTCTCGGTAAGAGGTCATATATAGACCTTCACAGAAATTGGATACTCACAATGCCTTTCTTCAATCATTTTTTAAGTCTTACAAGGAATTCGTTAATTGGATGGGTTAAAGTCGGAAATTTTATTACTTTATTTTATTTTTATTCATATGAATATATTCATCCCTTTTAGAACAGTTAAAGGGCATGTGGTGTAATAAGCGGGCTTCGATGATGTTTTTTTTAATGTTTTTCCTTATTTGTTAAAAATTAGTTTACAAAATATTCGCTTTCTTAAATACTGTGCACATCATTTATGCACATACATAAACATATACGAATATATTATGCAAACGTAATTTTCACTCCAGCTCAGGCGATAGTGTCCGTTTTCCACTTCATTGACATTTTTGCACACTTTTATAGCATCCTGATGGAGAAAGGAAAATAAAAACAAGCTTAGTAACCTCATCGGAATTCATACATTTCAGTCT